TTTCACTTCTCAATTTATATTCGAACGTTTGATGGACGAACATTGTCACAGTAACGGTTTCAAGCAATATTTTGTTATGTTTATAATATTTTTAGGAAATGATAATGGAGATGTATAAAGGAATTAAGGGCATGATGTCGAGAAACACAACTACGTTCAAGAAAGATTCCACTTTTCAATCGATAAATGAAATATTGAGTTATTTCTCTCACTTCGTATAGCTAAGTTCTTAAAATACGTTCATAACAGCGAAATTTCTTTTAAAAGTTTTCATATAACCCATTATGACAACAGTTCGACAATGAAACAGGCAATAAGTGAATATTGACTCGAGAAAATGTTCCAAAAATATCGTATTATCTGTTTGATTTGCAGTGCCGAAATCGGGAGACGTCTAGAAATTGTTAATGTATAACACTTGTGAGCCAAGAGACACCACGTACTTATGACATTGTATTAGATGCAGAAAACTGAAAATTCATTTGTGAGTAGAGATGAACAATGAACTCATAGAAAGTATAAAAATTACGGATTACCTGATAGACTCGTACCGAGAAACTTCTTACCGTAGAAAAACCCCGAAACGAGCCATCAAGCTCTTTGCACAGGTACAAACACTATTTCATACTATCGAAATTGCTTCCGAAAGTTAACATTAAAAAAACAATACCGATTTAGACCTGCTATATAAACTTAGACTAAACTTAGAACGTAATAATACGTTATGTATCAATTTTAAAACTAACGGATTACCTGCTTGCCTCGCAGCGTCGTAACCCATAGACGTCCAGATACGCCCTCAGGCGTGACATCACGTAGTGAGCCGTCAGACCGCGTCGCGGTCGGGGGGCCATCGACTAGGACGAAGGGCGCGGGCCGGGGCCGGGGACGGCGCGGGGATGAAGCGGCTGAGCCCGGCGGGGCGACGGCCCGTGGCGGCGCGGGGGCCCGCGCGGGGGCGAAGCGCGGCGGGGCGAGGCTGTCGCGGCGGAGCGCGGCGCCGGCTGAACGCGCGGTGTCACCGTGATTGGACTGGCGCCGCCGCGAGGTAATTAGTCCGCCGGCATCTGGACCGAAGCCCGCGTCACTTGACTCGCCCCCGGCGCGCGTCACTCGCGTCGGAACGCCCCGCCGCGCCCTGAGCGTCGCTTCGCCCCGCCGCCGCCCCCCCCCGTCGCCATCGCCCGCGTCTGCGTCTAGCCGCGCGGCGATTACGGGCTCTCGTTTGCTACCGAGTGGGGCTTCTCGTGAGCATGCAGTTTGACGTGAAACGACCGTATCTATTGCTGCTCAAATTGACAACTATTTACGAAGCAATGAAACGCGCTGTTAGAATTCAAAAGGTAACCTAAAAACTCTACATTTTTATCTGGACAAGAATCGGAATTTGAAATTCAGAATGGTTAATGGAATTCTTCAACTTTGATGTTACACCGTCTCATAAGCGCTAACACCTAACACTTTCGGGTAACCTATTACTAGCCGTTTTTTTTCTCCTAATTTCGACAGTCTTCCAGGAACTTTTTTATACGGCTCGCAAAGGAGATTAAACTTCATAATGCGGTATTCACCGTAAAATTTATAACCTTTTTTTCAAACATTTTCGTCGTAGAACGGCACGTTTGTATCTATTTTATGAATGGAAAAGTTGGTCTTTTCGTGTAGGAAAACATTTTTATTTACTTCTCGGAAACCATACATACATTTTCCAGAAGATTTTACGTGTTGTGTAACGACCTCGGAGTTAAAATATGGTATCGTGAAATCACCTTAGATTTACAAATTTAAATAATATCCTGAAATAAATTTAGATTCACTAAATGATTGTATCCTTGTAGTTTCATTTCAGAATGCATAGATTATCATTCGAATGTTAATGTGGTTGGAAGTTAATTTTAAGTACTGTTAAAGTGAACTGAACGTCAGATAATTTCACAAAATTTTTTGTAAAGTAAGTTATCGGTGAAAGTTCTTGAAACATGTGAAGTGTTAGTAGCTATCTGTACATCTGTACGAATGAATGACATATAAGAAACATCCAAGCAATAGAGGTGATGGGAGAACACCGACTAAGAATAATTGTTTCTACATATCGCCCTGTATAATTACATCCAGTATTACATATTTATTTGCCTTTCCTCCAAGCACGTAAATATATGATTTGTTACGTATTGTTTTTCACATTCATTTGAATTGTTATAATAAATTTATTCTATTTTGTAGTTAATATAACGTGTGTTCAAATGATAAAATTTGTAGAAGTGTAATACAAATGTATTCAAGCACTAATGCGGACTTCTACATCGCATGGGTCCAGTAGCAGACGACTCGACAATGTTGTATGTAGAGTAGTAGCCACCTGGTTGGTGTCACCGATTTTAGCGTGTGGAATCCCCTCCGGTAGACCAGTAGAGAGCCAGAGTAGTTTCTCAGAGCGTAGTGACTCAGGCCTAAGTAGAGCCCCGCCTCCTGCCCCGCCCGCTCCCCGCTGTGTGAGACCAAGGGAAGGGGTTTGAAGGCTGGTTTCCTTTCAGCCAACTCCAGCTTCCCGGAGAGCCGCTGAACAGCAGTGCGGTGGGCATGTACTCCTCAAGGTAGGTGAACCCTCCCGTTCCTTTGTACATAGACCTCTCTGTCAGTCTGTCTGTTGCTCTGAGGGGATCAGATCATCATGCACTGGAAATGGCAAAAGCGATAACGTTATGGTCTCTCTCATTGGTACACATATTTCCAAATTTTGGCTCATTAGGCACTACATAGCTGTATACATTATATTTTTGCGTAGCACAGATAATGCTTAAAAATTCAATAAAATGACTTCAAAAATCAATGCGTTTCTTTCTGTGTATATACTTAAAATGAAAGTGAAATCAGAATAAAGTACTTTCTTTAGAAGTTAGTTGCAAGATTTTGTTGAATATTAATAAACAATCGCTTTTGCTAAGGCTTCACCTTTGTCTTTGACAAAAAAAGGAAACACATTTAATAACTTGAATAATGTTGCAACTTCAACAACACTACAAATAATATTTCGCTTATTTGATTAAATAAACAAATGAGATTAATTGATTGATACACATAGCTATCTCATACAATAAATATTTCTCTCCCTCTCCTTCACATCCACACCAACCCTCACACACGGGTATAATAATCGTCATCGACAACATAAAGAGCTATTTTCAAGTGTTTGTTGATCTCTAACCCGGGCTGCTCTTCTTGTCTCGCTGTCTGCATCTTTTTCTGTTCTCTGCTTCTTCTGTGTGTCTCTGTGCCTCTGCACTCTTGCTGTGGCGGCTGGGCTGGCCCAGACTGCGATGCGTTTAACTCGGACGGATGACCGAAATTGCATGAGGCAAACTAAATACAAAGTGATGGGAAATTTTGATGGGTGTTTTTAATGAAAACGGATGAAACATTTATACAGTTTGATGAGGAAATTCAACATAAATAAGCTTAGATAATAAAGAGTTTGGTTAAAAGTTACAAAATGTCATTTAATTTTTTTAAACTCTTTAAAACTTGAATAGAAACGAAAATGATAACTTATTATATTAGTTTCTAAAAATGTACTACTATAAAATCTTTATTAAAATCGTGCATCTATAAAAATACTGTACGTGCAAACAGATAAAATCTTTTCATCATTGCATTTTTGACAATTTGCAACGATGTATGAAAATTAATTCCTAGATTTCGTTTGCTGGAAATTTACATTTTCCAATACGTTATTGTTATATTTATACGATTGCACAATTTGAGTCGAAATGTGTACAGATTGCACCACAAAAAATGTTTATCAATTTGAAATAATAAATTTATTTATAGTGCATAAAAAAGTGTCTTGGATAAGGTTCTGGGAGATGAGTGGTGTATTCTATCTTAATACAACAGGTTTGAAGCAGTCTCCTATTGCTCCAATTACAGTTCTGGTTTCGATTCGCTAAAATATCAGAGGATTTACTTTTTCTTAAACAATGGAAAACAATGAAATTTTCGTTTTCAGCGGCAACTGTAAAGGGCGGCGTGCTTTCACGCATCCATGGACCAGGACGAATCCATTACTTGTGGTAAATAGCCCATTTCGATGGATGTGGCTGTTTTATAAAACCGTCCCAAACTAATTCATAGCATTTATGCATGGCACTTTGAAACTGAACAAGTCCGCTCCGCGGCCGACGTGTCGGGAGCGGGTGGAGAGAGCAGCGGGAAGGTGGCGCGGGGGCGGGAGTTTTTGGGGCAATGGAGGGGGCGGGTGAGGTAGGGCCGGGAGGGACGACGTTAGCCGGGCTGTGCGGGAGGGGCCCGGGGGCTGGCAGGTGTGGTGGAGGCAGTGCGAATATCGTTGGGGAGAGGCGAAACTGTATGCGCCGGGGGAACGTTGGGAATGTACATATTTTCCCTGTCAAAACTATCCATCTCTGCCCTTCGGACAGGGGTGGAATATGAACGATTCCGCGCAGCATTCGAACGGAACAGGCCGCGCGCCACCGGGCAGAGGGCGGGTGCGGGGACAGATGTGGTGGGGGTGGAGCGGCAGTGCGTGTGTATGTCGGCGCTTGGAAGTGCCACGCGCTCAGGGAAGAAGGAATGGGGGGGATAACAGTCTTCATCGTGTAGACCGGTGATGATAATAGTCTCGCCTTTTAAGGGACGGGGTTGCCTCTTGCTTCGCTGTCTGGGCCCTGAGTGCTGCCTGTCTTGCTGGCTCTTTTGTTCTTTTTTTCTCTCTATGTGTCTTTCTCTCACTAGTCTCTATCTGTTTCTATGTGTCTTTCTATCTCTCTCTCTTTTATGTGTGTGTGCGTGTGTGTGCATATATGTTCTGCTTTCTTATTGTTCTTAACCATTATGATTGCTACTGGCCATGAAACCTTGTGCTGTAGTGAATAGTTGTTTTAACACTGCAACACGTTTCTATCTCTTTTTTTCTTAGTGTGTTTGCCAATGTTAGTAGTTTTTTTCTTGTTAGTAATGTTTGGTATTATGTTATCTTATAGGGGCTTCGGGTTTATCACCTTCGCTGAGCCGGCTAGCGTAGATAAGGTTTTAGCTCACTCCACGCACGAGCTAGACGGTAAAAAGGTACCGTAGAACAGTTTTTTATCTCCTTTATTCCTCTTGTAAATACTCAAGTGAATATTATAATTATAATACATATAAATGCATTTACAAATTAAAAATTTAAAAATATTAAAAATTAAATAATTTGTCGTTTCTCTGCTTCTGTAGGAAGACGCCATCAGCAGTCATTAAAATGATGTAAACGTAAATTATTATCTAGTCGAAATTTTGACAATATGGATATACCTTATTTGTGTAATTCATAATTTATTTTAAAATGTAATATTAATATCACATTCATATTTAGTTCTTGTATTTAGTTTCTTTGTTTCCTAAAAAAAAGCATGATGAATTAGAATTTGTTGTGGCGACTTTCCCTAGAAGCAGCGTAACTCAGTTTACAGTTTGAAATGCATTTTAAAACTATACATTAAATATATTTGTAATTTTTTTCTGTGCCTTGCGTTTTTTGCTTTGGTGACCGCTTTCTCCAGATCCGCACGTTTGGAACATTGTATGAGGATGACGATTGTTTCCGACTTAACAGATGAGTGATATTTGATACAATGTTACGCGATTCATTTCTATAAAAGCTATTCTAATTCTGTTTTTTCAGTTTTCTTATCAGTAATAATACGTTAGTAAAGGTAAATTCACGTTCAATTTAAGTGAAGTTTGTAAATTCATACTTTCAATGCTTTAAATTCATCATTGATTATTAAACTGCATTTATTGGAACGTCAAGGTTAGGAAATGGTACCTAGAAATTTACGGAAAAAGAAACTTGTCAAGGACTTCAGTCGTGGATTTTGAAAAACAAGTAAAAAGTGATTTTGTAAAACAAGTAAAACTGAAAAAGAGTAGGCATATTTGTGTTACGCATTTGTTTCTATACAAGTGCTTCAAATTTTCGATGATTTTAACCTTCAAATTAATTTACCTTCATTTGAAACTTTTATATTTGGATTACAATGAAGCTGTTAACTGCCTCATCAAATAAAATAACTATTCATACTCTATTCTACAGGCACTCTTCTTTGAATAGTAGCTTTTGAAGGTCCAGATTTCCTGCCGTGAATAATGTAGCTTAAGTTGAGTTTTAAATTGAAAGAGTGCTGGATTTTTAAGCCGCAATATTTTTAATTCAAAATCCAGACAATATTTGACAGTGCTTAAATTTTCACGGCATCGTTCGTATTGATGTAGATCTTGCTGTCGCAAGTGCTGAGGTTGACCACTACGGTCGTACATGGTGATGGTAAAGTCATTAAAACTAGAATGAAACGCAATTCAGTGGCAAGTGGTTCCAGTGAATAATTGACGTAGTACACATATAAAATGGAATTAGTTATGCGCGTCATTGTTTCTCTAAATTACTAGTGGTAAATGGAGACTAATGTTTCGGAAAGTAGCGCAACTTCCCTTGCCATTTAAATCTATTGAGCCATACGTTTTATTCCATAAAAATTGTATTGTATTAAATTTAATCAGATTCAACAGTTATAAAAAAAGTATTTTAACTATTTACAGTGTGTTTTTCAAAAACAAAGTCAATATCGAGTAATATGAATAAATATTGTAAAGATATAATTAAAATGTTTTAATTTCATATGATGGTCGTATTAGGATGCGTTCTAGCATGCAAATATTGAAATATGTGCTTCATTTTGGGTAAATCGTTCATTCTCCAAGTTCATGGTGTATTTTGAAATCGTTGTTAAAACTTACTTCCACTATGTTATTAGGAAAATAAATGAGAAAATTTTAGGTGAAACTTACTCTAGATTTTCTACAATAAATTCTTTCGTGTCAAGTTTCGCATTAATATTACACTTGTGTGGGTAATTCTTTTCGTGTTTCACATTTAATATACGTTTTTCAATGCGGTTGATTCATTCGTTGGTAGGATAATAATTCCTGATAATTTTCGATTGGTCCATAAGGTTGGAAAAGTTTGTTCAGTATTTTAAGTAGATGAATATAGATTCACAGGAAAGTTATAGAAAATCATATAATAGTTGTAGATCACATAAGTTAGTATGTTTTTGTAGTTATGGAAATCAATAACCATTCATTTTAGAATGTTTTAAAATTACTGACCGCAAATATTTCATTAGAATTTGGGGTAACACGATAGAAGAATCATAGTCATAGATAAATTTTACTTAGTACTTAACACGCATTTCATTGTATTTTACAATTTGTATTTGTATAGTCAGTATAGTTCCTTGATAATAGTGAAATATAGTTGTGAAGTTTCTACTAATATAGTACAATTTATACATGTTATGTTTGCCATTTATTTAGTTCTTTCTAGATGAAATAATGTATGTGATGAATACTTTCATGGATTAATTATTATTTTAGTAAATGTGTATTATTGAACTCAATTTCTCAACCTAATATAATTGCTAGGTGAGATACTTCATGTTCTGTAAGCCTATAATCTAGTAAGTATTTACATGACAACAAGGTGCTCACATTTACGTGAAAACTATTTCTCATTTTATTCCGACAACACTTCAAGAAAAAGTGAATATCAAATAGAATTTAATTTTCCTGAATTGACTGGTCTCAATAACAAGTTAAAAAAGAAAGTGAAGGAAGCTGATGACTTAAAAATATTGCAAGACAAAATGAATTTCGTAATGTATTTGGAATCTAACATTCACTCAAGAAAATTTGTCTAAGTTCTTGAAGACAATGGATTGTGAATTCATTAATAATTTAGTAAATGTCGTTTTTACTATCTAAATATTTACTATCTATCTGTACGAAACTCAGAAGAGATTTTCCAAGTACTTCTTAATGGTAGGATTATTTTTTTGAACGTTTGTTGTCGTGTTATATTAAATTAGGGTTAATGAAAGAAGCTGAGAAACTTGTTTATTGTTGGATAGGTGTATAATAGCGAAAGTGTGTAATTTATGCAGCTTATTTAAGGTTATAATAATTTCTACGTGTGAATAAAATTTACAAATGGTTTTTTTTGTATCCCAGTCTCCTACAACGTAGTGTGGAAAATTCTTATAAATAATTTCAAGAAATGGTTTACAAAAATCAATTGTAGTTTCAGCAAAATCAAACGTCATTTTAGTTTGATCTCTCTGGCAAGACTGTGTAAACCTTTTAGGGGACCTGATAGATCCCAGTGACGCGTACTGGCAAACGCCAGCAACTGGGGCCAGAGGGAAGTTGGGAAGTTGCAGCCGCTCCCACCGGATGCATGCAGCGCGCCGTGTATAATTGCGGAGCCAAGCTCGCATGCGCCGTGCCATTGCCTAGCAACCTGCAATCTGGCCCCGAGGAAAGCCGCTGGCTGACCAGTGCTGCGCGGCGCGGCGCGGCGTCGCTCGGGCCGCGGCAGCCGCTTGCTCCGTCTCTCAGGGAGTGACCGGAGGTGCTTGCCGGCCGCGCCGCTCGGGCCCTGGCCCTGATCGGCCGCGGCCTTCGATCAGTGACCGTGCGGGGGAGGGGGAGGGGAGGGAGCCGGCAATCCGATCCACGTTGGTTCCTTTGCGGTCGGAGGGCGGTCTTGCGACGGCGGCCAGTGGTGGGGGCGCGAAGGAAGAAAGGCGGCCGGGGGGGCGGCGGAGGGGGAGTAGGAGCCTCGTTGCGTTCCGCGGGCAACGCTGTGCTGGCGGGGCGGGGAGGCCTGCGGCTTCAATCACTCCGGGCGGTGGGCCTCCCGCCACTTACGCCCGCCCCCGGCGCCTCCGCCACCGCCTCGCGCCGCCGCTCAACGACTGTGCTCACTCGCTCACTAAATTCCCTGTTTCTATGGTAATCCGTCCCAGCTCGCCCCCGCCGCCGGCCCTCTGCACCCCCGCGCAGTTCCTTCCGCCACCTCCACCGCCCCTCACCGGCCCCGCCCCCGCTCTCGCGGCTCCTCTCTGGCATCGCTCGGCCCTCTTTCATTCATCTAGCCAGAAGTCTTCGGGTAACATTTGGCTCGACTCTGCTGCATAAAACGACTCAACTCAAATAAAATGAGCTGCCTCTGCGGCCCCGCCTACCTCCGCCGCCGCCTTCCCTTCCCCATCCCTTTCCCCCTCCACCCCCTCAGCCGTTGTTCGCTCTCGACGGCTCCGCTCGCGCCGAGGCGCGTGGAGCAAAGCTACTAACCGCGCTGAAAATATCGAAATTCAACATCAAAAAGCAAATTACGAGAGGGAATTCGAGAATATGGGCCGTATATATAAAAGGGCCCCCGCCTCCGTGCTTTCTCTCGGTTCGTCGTCTTCGCCTTAAAACTCCGGGCCTTTCTAATTAGCATTAAATGAAATGTGCGGGTGGCGTCTTTTGAAGTGTTTCTGTCGCTGAGTTTCTTTCGCTGGAGATTGCCTGAGATTTGGTCACGGAAACGGATGTTTCTTCTCTTTTCTTCCCTCCGGGTTGTCGTCGCGCTCCTGTTTGTTTTGTTTTTGACCCGTACTTCTGTTGTCTCGTATTTGTTTTTATTATTTTTCTTTTTTGGTACGATGATAGGGCATCCAAACTAAGTTATTATTTAAATCTTCAGGGGATTTAATTTTATGCAGCCCATTCTCTTGATACATTTTATGCCCCTATATTGACTGTCAACTTTCTCCAACTTTGCGTTTATTCTTCGAATTTTATCCATCTTTTCCCGGGATTTGCATATTGTCAATTCTTTTTCTGACCATGCTAAGTGAATATATTTCATATAATCCGATCGCCTCTATGCAGATACCTCGTGTTATTGCTATCTTCTTAGGCTGGTTATTTCTTATTTCATCCAGTCCTGATGTTGACTGATGCACAAATTTGTTCTAACAACAAATCGCTCTTAAATGTTATCTCGCACTGCTCCGAACCGTTCTCTGGCCCGCTCGCCCCCCCCTGGACTGTCCTGAGCCGCCCCTGGACCGCTCCTAGGCCTCTTCTGGCCGCCCGCCGAGCCCCCTTTTCCTTCGACCGCCCACCGAACCACAGCCGCACCGCCCCCGGAC